TCCTAGAGAAATGGAAATAAAAACAAAAATAAACAAATGGAACCTAATGAAACTTAAAAGCTTTTGCACAGCAAAGGAAACCATAAACAAGACGAAAAGACAACCCTCAGAATGGGAGAAATTATTTGCAGATGAAGCAACTGACAAAGGATTAATCTCCAAAATTTACAAGCAGCTCATGCAGCTCAATATCAAAAAAACAAACAACCCAATCCAAAAATGGGCAGAAGACCTAAATAGACATTTCTCCAAAGAAGATATACAGATTGCCAACAAACAAATGAAAGAATGCTCAACATCACTAATCAGTAGAGAAATGCAAATCAAAACTACAATGAAGTATACCTCACACTGGTCAGAATGGCCATCATCAAAAAATCTACAAACCATAAATACTGGAGAGGGTGTGGAGAAAAGGGAACCCTCTTGCACTGTTGGTGGGAATGTAAATTGATACAGCCACTATGGAGAACAGTATGGCGGTTCCTTAAAAAATTAAAAATAGAACTACCATACGACCCAGCAATCCCACTACTGGGCATATACCCTGAGAAAACCATAATTCAAAAAATCATGTACCAAAATGTTCACTGCAGCTCTATTTACAATAGCCAGAACATGGAAGCCACCTAAGTGTTCATCAACAGATGAATGGATAAAGAATATGTGGCACATATATACAAATGGAATATTACTCAACCATAAAAAGAAACGAAATTGAGTTATTTGTAGTGAGGTGGATGGACCTAGAGTCTGTCATACAGAGTGAAGTAAGTCAGAAAGAGAAAGACAAATACCGTACACTGACACATATATATGGAATCTAAAAAAAAAACAAAGGGGTTCTGAAGAGCCTAGGGGCAGGACAGGAATAAAGATGCAGAGGTAGAAAATGGACTTGAGGACAAGGGGAGGGGGAAGGGTAAGCTGGGACGAAGTGAGAGAGTGGCATGGACTTATATAAACTACCAAATGTAAAACAGATAGCTAGTGGGAAGCAGCCACAAAGCACAGGGAGATCAGCTCAGTGCTTTGTGACCACCTAGAGGGGTGGGATAGGGAGGATGAGAGGGAGACGCAAGAGGGAGGGGATATGGGGATATATGTACATGTATAGCTGATTCACTTTGTTATAAAGCAGAAACTAATACACCACTGGAAAGCAATTATACTCCAATAAAGATGTTTAAAAAAAAATGAAGAGCAACAATAAGTGTTGGCAATAATGGGGAGAAACTGGAACCTACACACACTGCTGTTGGGAATATAAAGTGATGCAGCCACTTTGGAAAATGGTTTGGTGGTTTCTCAAAATATTAAGCATAAAGCTACCATGTGACCCAGCAATTCCACTCAAGAGAAATGATATCATATACTCATCCAAATGATTTCACAAATGTTGACAGTAGCATTAATCATAATAGCCAAGAGGTAGAAATAATCCAAACATCCATCAACTGCTAAATGGATAAATAAAACGTTGGATATCTATACAATAGAATACTAGTTGGATATAAAAGAAATGAAGTATTGATACATGCTACAACTTGTATGAACCTCAAAAACGTTGTGCTAAATGAAAGAAGCCCGACACAAAAGCCCATATGTTGTATGACTGCATTTATATGAAATATTCCAGAAGAGGCAAATCTATAGAGAGCAGTTTAGTGCTTACCTAGAACTCGGGGTGGAAACAGGAAGGGATTGGTAATGGGTACTGGGTTTCACTTTGGGGTGATATAACGCTCTCAAATTAGATTGTGGTGATGCTTCCACAGCTCTGTGAATATACTAAAAACCACGGAACAGTATACTTTAAGTGACTGATTTTTATGGTATGTAAAATGTATCTCAATAAAGTTGTTTTTTTAAAACCTGCTCCATTTTCTCATTCCCAACTTTACTTTTTATGATTCACCAACATAAACCTTCTAATCTGTCCATCCGGCGTCCAGTGAAAACCCCACACTCATTTTAGTTACTTGACTCTGCTCACATTCCTCCCCTACCTGAAGTACTCTCCCTAGGGTACAGTTAAGTCACATACTTATTTTGAAGATGTTTCTGACCAAGTCAATCCTCACAGACCTAATTACCCTCTAGATTTCATACCACTTATAACTTGTAACACTGTAACCTCAAGTATATACATAAAACAGTTTCACCTTATTTCCTATCAACGTCTAGATTTTGCCACAATCCCTAATTCTTGCCTTTAATCTCTTTTATCTTCTCAGAGACAAACTAGTTACTCCAGAATCATAAAGATCAAACATAATTGTGGAACTCAGCTAGGGCTCTAAGACAAAAAGGAAAAGGTGTACAACCAAAGAATACTGTAGCATAAGTAACATCAACAGTGAATGAAAAGCATGCTCCTTCCTCTCTTATGCCCTGCCAACTCACCAGCTTCACCAACCAGAGCCCTGAGTACATCTTTGTATCCCCTTAACAGCACAGAATCTTGAACACAGATGGTACCAAAGGTCTGCTGAATAACAAATTAATGCTTTTGAATGCAACTTCCTACATGTGTATTCAGGAGTCCCCAAACCTTAGCAAATACCTGAAATCTTAAAGCAGGAAATGGGAATGAGGAAAAACAAAACTAAAATGATGGGACATGCATTTACTTCTCAACAGTGTATTATGTTCTTACTGTGCATTTCAAGGTGGCATCTTACTGCTGTCCTCAAACCTGAGTATGTACCAGGCATCCTTATCTTTAAGTAGTTACTGGACTTCATTGTTATCAGAGCAAAAAAGAGCACTATTAAGAGAAGCAAGGACTTAGATGTGACACTTCACTTCCTCCTAACAGTAGGGTGCCAAGACTCAAACCCCTATGCCTCTACATGCAGTCCGGAAGAAATCCACACAATGAAGCTTGGAAGTGTAGAGATGTGTGAGGTGGGAATAAGGAGGAGCACTGCTTTCAGAGGAGAGTGTGTTGGTAGGCAGAAGACAAATCTTAGGAGCTGAACTGCTGAAAGCAACAAAGACAGTGGGCTCATAAAACAAAAGCCACAGACCGCTGAAACCTGTGCTAGACCCTGAATGCAGGAGCCTAGTATCAATGAATTCAAGAGCACCTTTCTGACACTCTGAATAGACAAAGCCTAATTCCACTACATAAAATTCCTCAACCTGGCCCTGGAGTACTATGAACATAGAACACTTCTCATTTGTTTAGCTTCAGAAATACATTTTCGGACTTCCCTCGTGGCACAATGGTTAAGGATCCACCTGCCAATGCAGGGGACACGGGTTTGAGCCCTGGTCTGGGAAGATCCCACATGCCGTGGAGCAGCTAAGCCCATGTGCCATAACTACTGAGCCTGCGAGTCACAACTACTCAGCCCACGTACCACAGCTACTGAAGCCCGCACGCCTAGAGCCCATGCTCCACAGCAAGAGACGCCACTGCAACGAGTAGCCCCCACTTGCCTGCAACTAGAGAAAGCCCGTGTGCAGTCACTTAGACCCAACACAGCCAAAAATAAATAAATAAAATTTAAAAAGCCCCGATTTAAAAAAAAAAAATACATCTTCCTCCTTTCTCTGTATTTATTCTTATTTGGTAATTTACCTTGTGTTGTTTAGTGTCCAAAATGCACATATTGTAATCATTCAGACTTGCTTAGGGGATTTCTCTGGTGGTAAAGCAGTTAGCTCCAAATTTATAATTATTTAAGTTTGTTACAGATTTTTTTTACTTGTTTAACTTGGGTCTCTTTAATAATTCCCTTTATATTTGTAAAAAACTCCTTTAGATTATACATTTCCTTCTCTATCATTTACTTTTTAATATTTGGTAGTTTAGATTAAGGGATCATGAAATGTATTTAAGGTGGGTAATTCTTCTTCACTTCAATATTCAGATGACTATTAAGGTGCAAAGAGAAAATTAACAACATAAATGGCTAAAAGAGAATGTTTTCTTCAATTTACATATTGTTATTTTATCATCTGCTGCCTTCTTTGAACTCATATACAGATGCTAACACTCCTACTTTAAATGTTCAACCAAGCGTTTTTATTCTGCTTTTTGCAGAAGGCTATCATCTAGATTTCTTCAAACCACATATGAAGAAAGACAGCATTTGATTATTATTTTGAATAATGATTTTGACACATCAGGATAACTTCTCCCAGTGAATATGCTGTTCAATAATATGAAGAGAAAGCATCATTATCAAGAATCAGAATATACTGAACCAGAGAGTAGTTTTGTACAGGTCTTGTCATTTGATGAAATCACCCAAATATATAAAGAATCTTGATTTCTCAGAGATACAGAAATCAGTAAATAAATGAAAGAAATACAAAAAGCACCACTCATCAACATACATTTCTCTTTGTACCTTATACTACTGGTCAATGATTTTAAACAGGCTGTCTAATTGGTAAATGAAAGGCTTTCAATTGCCGACATGTAAGAAAAACTGGTAACTTTTAAATTTCCTGCAACAAGAGCAGGCTGACAATATGTGGTGCATAGCAGGAGCTCAAAGAATAATTGCTGAACAAAGAATTAAAAGCGTTCATGAGGTATACAGACTAAATAATTTCTTATGAAAAATATATTTTCTAAAGACTCTGAAAAAGAAAATATTCACATGTATGCTTTTCTATTTTAGTTCCATCTCTTAAAATAACAGTTACACCCAAAAATATAACTTGGGGGTTGAATTTGCAGAAAAGATCTCTTAGAATTTTTATTAATTTCTTCAAATTTCTCTAGTTCACCAATTCACAGTTATAAAAAAGGCAACTAGAGTACTAAATTAAAAATCCACTCCCTTCAGTCACAACGTAGGTAATACAGCTGGTTGGACAGAAAATTAGAGAAGTGTGAATTTTCTATGCACGTTTTTTAAGGATTATTATCAACAAAGTTTCATGTTCTATCCACATAACTCTCATTAAATTTAAAGCAAACCCTCAAATGAAAAATATCAGAGAGCAATATATCCCCCAAGATGGGAAGCACAGCTTACCGTAACTTGAAAAAGTTCTCCAGCCCCCTCACAGTCATTGGATGTGATTACTGGAGTATGAATATGCACAAAGCCACTGTCCTGGAAGAAAAAGAGAAACCACTTTTCTCAGTATATTTGTATGTGAAACACTTCCAAGAACATACACTTCATTATATGATTCAAATAGCACTAAGAGAATGCCATATCAAATCCCTCCTTAATCCCCAAAATAAAACTATTAAAATATCAAATGGAGAGTTTACTACGCACAAAGAATTTTAAATCAGAACTGACTTAGACAATATCTAGTCCAATCTCCTCACTGGAAAGACAAGGAAATTGAGGCCCAGAGAGATTTAATGAGAGGCCAAAATCATACAATGAGTCAGAGTCAGAGCCGGGACTAGAACCTAGGTGCTCAGGATCTCTCTCTGGTGCCATTTCTTCTTCCCACTTTTCCAACATACTGATAGTGATTTAACACACATGCACACACACGCACACTCACTCAGGGCTAATGCATAATGATGTTGCCCACACTGCTAAGGGAATAAAAGTGATCAATATTAAGTTGTTATTTTGGAATGAGACCCTCAATTGTAACAAACCACCAAAAAGGAGATAAATTAAGGTTGACAGTCAGGGACCGCAGAAATAAACAGCAAAAAGGCAGGAATGATTTTTAGGAAGTCTGTCATTAAACTGATGGCACAGTGCACCGCACATGGCACAGGCAGTGCACTTCCTTTGCCTCAAGGAAGATTGTGAGCAGCAAACCCATCCATTACTAAGGCACCCAACTGCAATCCTTCTGCTCTAAAGTCTGAGACTATTTCCATTAGTGAACCACAAAAGCTGTTGCTAGTAAAACTGAAATAACCCAGCAACTTCAAGGTTATGCTTCTTTCACTTTGACTATGGATGTAGGCGAAAGGTTACAGACAGCATAAATGCTGCAGGGTGGGGGTGGAGGCAGCTAAAGTGAATTTATTCTGCAAAGGCATAAGAGTATGTTTTCAATGTAAACATTTTGTTCTTGACATCAATACAATAAGTTCATATATATCCATCTAATCCTGCTAAATTCTGCCAGTACCTACTGGTGGAATGTAAAATATGTCAGTGTATTACCAGGGGCCTCCCAAATTTACCCCTTCCTTCCTAAAAAGGTTGAATTCAAGTATTCTGGCTATGATACAAAGTATCCAGCCAACAACTTGCCTTATGATGTAGACTGATTAAATTTTCAAGCTATAAATTAGGAGTCTCAGTAAGTGTTCAAATATGTACTTAATCTGGGAACAACGTGTGGTGAGGTGCTGCACAGAGCACATTATAGAGAACAAATGAAATAGAATCAATAACATTACTGCATAAAATTTTTATCTCCTAGAAGCCAAGAATTATGGACATGAATCATTTATTCCACATAAGGCAACTATGAGCATGAGTGCAGTAAACAAAGAAAGGAAGTGAAAAATCCAAAGGAAACAAGGGTGGCGAGAGGGAGGAGAAAATTTAACGGCTAAATATAATTGCCTAAGTTAGAACTGGTCAACTGCCACAAGGAACAATGCTGTAAATCTTATGAAAATAACTGTATGGGATTTTTTTTTTAATCACTCAAATAGTGGGAATTATTCTCAATTCTCAAATAATGCTAAACCTTTCAAAAGGCATCATCAGCTTTTTAAGCCTTAACAGTGCTAGCAAGGCTTATCATATCAAAGTCTATATCATTACCACCAAAAGTTATACAGGAGAGGGTACAAAGGAACAACAAAGACGAGAACAAAGTCCACAAAAGAGAAAGTGGATAGAGAAGTAGGAAAATAAATAGCAGGAGTACTCTCAGAGGCTGCCTCCAGTGGGGTTCCACTGTCAGGTACTTATCCTATCCCACAGCAAAGGGGTTCCTAATAAGAGAGATGAAGGCCAGAGAAGGGGTCAAAAATTTTGGCCCAATTATTCAGATCCCACCCATCACCTCTAAATATCTAAGTATTTTGATAGATACACATTGCTATAACCAGATATTTATAAGGCAATGAATGAGTATCTGAAAATTACAAAATTCATGTACTAAGGCCCATACACATCACTCAAAGAGTCATGGACTATATTTTTCTTTAACACACACAAAATAAATATTATTTAATCAGACTCAACAAAAAAGAAACATGACAGCAATTGCTAGCCACAGACACACCACTGGCGACAAAAAGTGACAGCAAGAGACCAAAAAAACAAAACAAAAACCAAAAAAACACCCCATAAAAAGCAGTCACAGGAACTCAAAGACACAGCAGTCTAGGGTCATTCAACGCAGGGTCAAAGAACACTCCTCACCATGACAGGCTTTGAAGGCACTGCCATACTGAGAAGAGAACAATCTGATACTCAGAGGAAGAACCTCAACTCACCAGGAAAGGGCAAACTCTTTTCTGTTGGCTCACTTCAGGAAGCCAGGGAAGTATGTAATACATTTTAGGATAACTGCCACTGGAAATTAGAAAAAAAATTGGTGCCTAAAGAGATAATCCTATTATTTGAGAAACTCAGCTCTTGTAAATAACTCATTTTTTGAGAATTCTAGATAGTCATGTTTTAGTACTCAGCAAATGTGTCAATTTTATAAGCAAAGCAAGTTATACACTAAACATTTTTGATACTCAAACCAAAAAACTCTAGATCCTTAAAGTATCCTAACTAAAAGGTTTGTGCTCAAGTTTCTTTTTCCCTATATTTTCAAGGTCTGAAATTTTTGAAAATTTTACATTTTAGTTCTTAACATGTTTTAGGGAGCCTAAAGTAACAAACATAGAAACAGTACCAAATATAGGATAATATATAAATAATATTTAATATGTCCTGGGTACTCCCATTATTTCTTTAAACAATTCAATCCTGTCACATACACAAGTGGGTGACATCTTAGAAGGAGGTATCAGGATTATATTTTCCAGAGCTTTACAATTAAAAAGTGAATTTATAAGACTCAAAAGTACCTACCTTTATAACCATCACCAACAGTGCTAAAATTCATTATTTTCAACCACCAAAAATGTTTTTTAAATTTTACTTTACTTTGCTTATTCCTTGATTTCAGAGTTTTCTAATGTTTTTTATTATTTTAAAATTATTTACATACCTGTGAAAACTTCAAGTAATAAGAAATGTATAAATTAGGTAAAGCCCACTTGTTAATAGATTGCCAATACCACCACCTACTGGCCAGAAATCCATAAAACTTTCAGAATTAAAGCAGATCCACTGACTTTATCAGCTGTTAAAGCCATATAGGGAAAAAAGATTTTTACATCTGAACAAATTTTCTGTTTGTATGGTTCAAGCACTATTGAAAAGCCATATGGATGGGACTTCCCTGGTGGCGCAGTGGTAAAGAGCCCACCTGCCAATGCAGGGGACACGGGTTCAAGTCCAGAAAGATTCCACATGCCGCGGTGCAACTAAGCCCTCGAGCCACAACTACAGAAGCCTGCGCGCCTAGAGCCCGTGCTCTGCAACAGGAGAAGTCACTGCAATGAGAAGCCAATGCACTGCAATGAAGAGTAGCCCCCTGCTCACCGCAACTAGAGAAAGCCCATGGGCAGCAACGAAGACCCAACACAGCCAAAAATAAATAAATAAATTTATTTTTAAAAAAAGCCATATGGAAGATGCATAAGAAAGTTTATGAGAGCATATGTAAACACACCCTTTCACACTATAATGGGATGACACTGTATAATGTGATTTATTTTCCTTTGTTTATTCTTATGTTTTAAAGCCATGATGTTTTTTAGCTGTCACATCAAAAATTACCTCTTAAGGAGCTTTTCAAAGAGCAAGAACTTCCTTCATGTGCTATGGCAGGGCTGGGCCTGCATGAGTTTGGATGCTGTCCAAGGGAAGGGTACGCTGTCAGACAATCTTTGCAAGTGAGCTGGATCTGGAGAAGTGGATTAGGAAGAGTTCCAAAACTACATGGAATAATACTGAACTTTATCCATTGGGTCACTCTTGCTTTTGGAGCCCTTCCATCCACCACATGGAAGGAGGGTCCGTTCACCTCATCAACTTACAAACTACATTCCACTGTGGCTTTCCCGGGTTGGGGGAAATGGCTGAAAAGCAAAGCTAAATGAGACAAAATGTCTTTAGGCATTAGATCAATCTACTTGATCAACACCAATAATTTTTTAAAATTAGTGCTTACTGTATATAAAATGTCTGCGACTAAAATGTAGGAATAGGAACTAGATTTACCCTCCCATTTGAAACAACAAAAAAAAACAAAAACAGGGCTTCCCTGGTGGCGCAGTGGTTGAGAGTCCACCTGCCGGTGCAGGGGACACGGGTTCGTGCCCCGGTCCGGGAGGATCCCGCATGCCGCAGAGCGGCTGGGCCCGTGAGCCATGGCCGCTGAGCCTGCGCGTCCGGAGCCTGTGCTCCGCAGCGGGAGAGGCCATGACAGTGAGAGGCCTGCGTACCGCAAAAAAAAAAAAAAAAAATCCACAAGCAAACCACATGAAATGCTGGTTTTCAAGACACTGGATATCAGACAACAAAGGATAGTGATCCCTGAGAGACAGGAAACAAACACAGTGAACCCTACCAGCAGCCCAGCTTACTACCTTGAGATTTTCCAGGCCACAGCAGGAAGAAGGGAGAAATAAAGTGGAGCCCAGCAGACTCCCTGAGTTGAGGAGACCAAAGTGGCTAGAACTGACAGGACAGAGTACCAGAGAGCAGACAGTTGTCCAACAACTCCAGAGATGTACAGGGAGTCACCCTGGAGTATTAGGTGGAGGAATGATCAGCACATGCAAGTGAGGAAACTATCCAAGGCCAGGGAAAGAACCATCCACAACGATTAGAGGAAACAGCGCCTGGTGCTCGTATGTGGCTGGAAACAATGCCTACTCCCACAAACCAGGCTGGAAAATCTTGTAATTCACAAGGCACTACGTAGAATACTCAGGAAGGCTTTGTCTCAGTAGTGGGGAATAATCAGACCCAGACTGAGCACTGCTCCAGATTTACTTAACAAATCATAAAAGCAAGACCCTTCCAGTAACTTAACTACATACCAAAACAAAGCTTAAGAAGCTTTATAAATATCCAGCACCCAACAAGGTAAAATTAACAAGGTCTGGCACCTAATCAGAGATTAGCAGATATACGAAGAAGCAGGAAAACATAACTTATAATGAAGAGACTAATCAATCAATTAAAACTGACTTATAGCTGACACGTTAGAAGGACGTAAAAAGTTACTAAGCAGCTATGAAAACTACAGTTTTAACTAAAACTGTATTGTATATGTTCAAAAAAGTTAAGTAGAGACATGGAAGACACTAAAAAAAAGGCCCAAATCAAACACTTAGATATGAAGCCTTTCACTTAGATATGGGGTGAAAAATGCACTGGATAGGAATAAGAAATTAGGCACTGCAGAAGAAAAGATTGGTAAGCTTGAAGACATAGTAATAGAAACTATCCAAAAGAAACACGCTGGAAAAAAAAGATTTTTTAAAAAGAAAAGAACATCTGAGAGCTATTGGGATATCATCAAGTGGCCTAATATATGGGTAACTGAAGTCCCCAAAGGAGAGAGGTAACATAAAAATATTTGATGAAATAATGACTGAAAAACTTGGTGAAAATTAAAATGCATAGATCCAAGAAATTCAATGAACTCCAAACACAAGAAACATAAAGAAAACTGTGCCAAGGCACACATTAATCAAATTACTCAAAACCAGTGATAAACAGAAAATTTAAAATCAGCCAAAGAAAAAAGTACCACACAATAAAGGGTGCTTGGAATAAATAACCCGAAGAACTTTCAGGATAATACTCCAGTATTACAATTATTCAACTTCTTCACAAGAAAGAACACCTAGAAGCAAAGCTCCTTACCTTAAAGAAAGAATGGATAGCAGCTGTGGCTTCACTGCGAACCCTCAGTACAGAACCCAGAACATTAGTCCTACACCTAAGGTGAGGGTATTGTCTCAGATACTCCAGAGGATGCCTCTCTTTATATTTAAAAGGGAAAGCCTGACAATAAAAGGAAAAACAAGTTAGAAGCTAAAAGAAATACTGTTTTATAAAATCAGTTTACAGGGCGTTTGTTAAATAGTAATGCTTTAGAATAAAACTAAGACGCTTTTGTTCCTTATTTCTTAACATAACTGAACATGGTCCACATTAATTCTACCAAGTTAGGACAGTGAGTGAAATCAGAAAGATGTGGGTTTAAATTCAGCTCTACTACTTATTAGCTTTGGAACCTTGGGCAAAGTTACTTATTATCACCAAGGCTAATCTGTTATTTATCAAATTTCTATCCGTTAGCTATCAATCACTACTTACAAATAGAGAGATTAGGATATAGTTACCCAAAACACTCCACTGTTTGGCACACATGAGTTTAGAATATTGTAGATATTAAACATTATGTTTTCTACAGCTGTATACACACAGCTGGTATTGAATTTTAAAATTGCCCAAATGTCTTGAAAGTCCACAAGCGCTCATAATCAATTAGCACTATTTATCACCATTTATCAACATGTGCTGCTGTTTCAGAACATGAGCGAGGGTCAACAGCTTTGTATCATCTGGACGAGTAATGTATATTCATAAAAATTTTAAAGGAAATTATGACTCTACCTAGAAAAATTTCCCTGCCCCCACTCATTTTACAAGATTGAGAAGATAGGATAAAAGTTTCAGACCAAAACCAAAGTTTCAATAAAAAAGATAACAGAGAAGCTAAGTAAAAGAACTCTAAAACAGGCTACCAACATAGCTATCTATTCCTTTTAGGCCTTGTGCACACATTAATTTATGTCATATAGAAATAGGTCCCATACCTACGAAAGTGACAATATGATCACATTAATAGGAATCTGGGGACTGTTAGCGGGTTCAGAATTCCCTAATGCTGAATACTTAAAAATGACACTGAAATAAGGGGGAAGAGTAGTGGAAAGCATCAATACCCACCAAGGGAAAACAATTTAAGAAGAGTAAAACACATGGCAAATTTTTAATAATCAAACATCCCTCTAAAAAAGCAAAAATAAAAATGGTTAACATTTCAATTATCCAAAGGAACTAAAAATGAATTTGAATTAAAATGACGCTATTTCCCTATATTCCTCATTTTTTGTTCATTAAATATTTGAAGATGAGTATAGCTAAACCACAGGGGGTTAAAATGGCTAGCACATAAACTTCAGCTGTGCCACTAATCAGCAATATAACCTAATGCAAGCCATTTTACCTGATTGGGTCTCATCTTCTCCAAATAGAAACTGGATTGATAATCTATGGTTTTATTCCCTCTAACCTCTTTATCAGGCTATACATAAAAAGCTACTAACAGAAGAGTCTTGCAAAAACAGGAATAAACATGTCTTAATGTAGAATTTCTTATCTTTGTTCAGCCTAAGCATCCCCACACTCTAGCACCATCCAACAGAATTTTCTGTGATAAACAGAAATGATCTGTACCTGTGCAATGCAGTACGGTAGCTGCTAGCTGCATGTGATCACTGAGCACTTGAAATGTGGCTAATGTCACTGAGGAACTGAATTTTTAATTTAATTTTAACTGATTTAATATTAAATAGCCATGGGTGGCTAGCGGCTATTGCACCAGATGGTACAGTTCTAGATCATGCAAAAGTAATTTCTAGGCAGAGCTTTCCTAAGAATGTGGTTTGCCCTGGTATGTCTTTGTCACTGCAGCTGACTAGGCAGGCTTGTAAAGTGGCAAATCTCAACAGTGACAGGCACCACAGAGATACACAGAGTATTATCACTTAGCTCTCACTCCCAAGGCTCCAGCCATCTACATAAATACTTTTTGCTACTCTTTCTACATTCCTCAGTCTATAGCCTGTTTCAATTACCTAGAAGTCACAATCGAAAAGTTCCAAGTGCCATCTTCCCAATAATCACACTTAAAACGTTGCTAATGTTTTAAATTAAGCCTTAACGGCCTCCATAATCGTGTCACAACACATACCTTGGCATCACAATTTCCAACAACTTCAATTTTTTCTGCCTTCAGTTCCACATTTTGCCTTTTGGACAAACTTTTTACCAGCTGCCCTTGAACTTCCACGGAACTCCCAAAGGCCAGTTCTCTATAATAACAAAACAATAGCATAAACAAGATCTTACATGTAGCCCTCATATTAATACCAACCTTGCTCTCAAAACAGTAATCTATTATTTATTTATTTATTTGGCTGCACCAGGTCTTAGTTGCGGCATGCGGGATCTAATTCCCTGACCAGGGATCAAATCCAGGCCCCCTGCATTAGGAGCATGGAGTCTTAACCACTGGACCACCAGGGAAGTCCCTAAACCATTTAATGATAGAAGATTTTACCTTTAATTGGGTTAAGAGCTGCACATAGTTGAGAGAGAAGCAAAGGATAGGTGGGGGATATTGTCATGTGAAGATGTTAGAGAGAGGAGAGAAGGATCTTGATTCTAAGTATTTGGACTTGAGCCTCAAAGCTATGAAAAGAAGATTTGTTTAGAAAGATCACTGAGGGAGCAATATGAACACTTAGATTAGGGAAATGGGGAACAGAGGAGATGAAAAAAATTCAAAGTACTCTTTAAAACAAACAAACAAAAAAACCTCACCTACTGTCAAAGCTTGAATCTGCTACAACCTGAAGGCTTTCCAAAGATGACCCATCATTTACATGCAGGAACAAGACTTCCTTCTGGGATCGGACTGAACGAATCCATCCCTAATGAGAAATATTTCTAAATGTGAGTTTAAAATACAAACATTTTATATTTTCATTACACATACACACAGAGGACTAAATGAAAAAAAATAAGTCTTCATAATCCCGCCTGAACAAATCAATTGCTTTTAGTTTACCAATATGCATATATAATTTTATATGATCCTCATCACAGTGAAATACAGCTTTGGCATTCCACCTTTTTTGCTGTTGTCGTTTTGTTAATGAAACTCATCATTCTGAATAAGATGTCCCAAATCCCGTTAGGTTGATGAGCCTAATTCACATAACCAATCCCCCTAATATTCCAGGTTTTCTTCCTGCCCCTGCCCCTCTCCCCCACCATTACACGTAATAGGGTACACATTTTGGTTCCTTTCTCCTTTTATATTAAATTCCCAGAAGGGAGATTATGTAGTTATAGACTAGAAACATCTTTATGGGGTTTTCTTTTTTACAAAGTATCATACTAAAAGAGTTCTCAAGAAACTTATTATGATCATATTAAGTAGCACATAAACTTTCAAAGACACTCTGAATTTAAATGACAGGTATGCATGAGTACAAATGAGATGTCTTCAAGTAGAACACTAAAAACAGCTCTCTCACAGATGACAACCTCTATGCTAGTTAAATTTAACTAGCATAGAGGTTGAGAGGATATTCTAGCAGCCTCTGAACAACTGTGAACAGTTGATGGTGTTTGGTTAACCATCAAATGTGCTTGGGAAAAGTGAGATAATCCTACTTAGAAAAACTGTACTGATCCTGACTTTCTTTGTATCCCCACCACACCCTAATAGACACTGTTATTAAAGCCCGTCTATTACTTATTTGCATGTCCATGATATTTTGTGGATTTAGGAATCACATTTTTAGTTGCATTGAAGGCTATTGTCAGGCACACAGTAGAAAATCCATGAATATATCCAGTGGAAGAATATCTATCATGTACTGAACATCTACTATGTAACAAACATTTTAATTACTACGTTCTTCATATACTGTTTCACCTCCTCCTCACAACAGCAATGTGGATTATCATTATTCCCGTTTTACAAGTGAAGAATTAAGGCTCAGAGAAGTTAAATAACCTGCCTGAGGCCACACTGCTGGTAAACGGCAGAGCCTGAATTTAAACCTAAGTCTACTAGGAAGTGCTTGATCTTTCTCCAGGGCTACGCTGAATAAAGCGTAAACTGCCTCAGTCTCACATACAAGGCCCTTCATAAATTGAACACGCCCAATCCAAAGCACCAATGTCTTGCTTTTTACTTGTTAGTAAAAGTTAACATTTATGGAGCACTGTTTAATGTACTTCTGTCCTAAGCTCTTTTTAAGTATTTTTCTACTTAATCCTCACAAGAACTATCACTTTAGAGATGAAACATATTTAGAGAAGTTAGGATAACCTTGTTAAATACTCAAGGTTACCAAGTAGTACAGGTGGAATTCAAACACAGAACTCAGTTCAAAGTTCATGTTCTTGTCAACAAGCTCTTCTGAAATGATATTTCCACCCTATCCCTGGTTCCTGTGCCTGAGGAACACATCCTTCTGGACTCAGCTGAAATGTCACCTCACGCAAGAAGTCTTCTTTGACCTCCTCACACTGTTAAGAACTTCCCTCTCTGTATTCTCAAAGTTTTCTATTTATACCACTAATACTTATCACATTGTTGTCATTTCTTGTCTTATCCATCAGACCAGGACTGTCTGACAAAAATATGTGAGCCACATATGTAATTTTACTTGTTTAGTGGTTACATAAGAAATGGGTTAAATTAATTTTAATAGTATATTTTATTGAACCCAAAATATGTATCAACATGTAATCAATATTAAAAATACTGAGATAGTTTGCATTCTTTTGTTCTTCAAAATTAGTGTCTATTTTACAATTACAGTACCACTCAATTCAGATACTTCTAAATTACACTGCACAGCACTAAAGTGAAAGCCTCTAACCTAGCGAGTATGTTCCATTCTTTTCATCTTTGAATCCTCTCTAGACTAGCACACAAAGGTATTAATGTATGTCGAATTAATAGATTAATGCAGGAAAAAGTTTTGATTTGGATAATAGAAAGAATATGAAACCCAAAGAAATGCAAAGAGGGGGAAATTGGTCATACTGCTAAAAATCAAGGATATGTGAGGACAGCAAAAATAACTGCATCAGTGTGTTTCAGCAACCTAGTAAGTCAAACCTCCTTGCTTGGTCTGCTCCTTTAAGGAGGTACCTTCTGTGTGGAGCCGCTGCAAACATTATTATTAACAAGAGAAATGATAGCAACTAACATTTATTCACGGTGGGCCACTGCTCTAAATGTTTTGTAACTAATATTCAGGACTCTGTGAGGTAAGGACTATTATCTCCATTCTCATAAGAGGGAACTGAGGTTTAGAGCACGTTAAGTGACACGCCCGTAATTAACAAGCTACTAAGCGGCAGAGATTTAAACCGAGGCAGCTTGACTCCAGAGCTCTTTCAGACTGCTACACTCCACTCGTTCTCCTAATTTATTAACATAAGTTTTATGCAAAGCCCCATTTTAGGCACTGAGGTGGTTAAAAGTTCAATAAAAGGTATGGTTTAGTTGAACAAATATTTACCGCCAGCTATGTGTGACTATCAAGACGGGTAAGACATAGTTCCTGCACTCAAGGAGCTATATAACTGTGGACACACGTTATGAGGGACAAAAGAAAAGGGGCTCGTTCATTTTGCTGTATGATTAACAAGTTTACGGGTAATAACCTGTATCATGAAAGCAAAGTTCCAGCACTTTCCAGGCAAAACTAACGGTAACCAATGAGAGGAGAAAAACGTGGACCCACACGATTGTCTACATTTTCTAACTTTGCCCTGCCGGTCGTTCTGTCCGACCCGACAGCACAAGGATAGCCTAGACGTGGACGTGCCATATCAGTCAACGAAAAAGACAAACCCACCGCCTTCCGATACACTAACCTGGACCTTAACGCGCTCCCCACTTGCGTTCTGGGCCCCGAGAGCGTCCCGCACGCTCAGTTTGGCTGAAGGTTTGTGCCTTGGGCAGGGAGCCGAGGAACAGGAGCGCAGGGCTCGGAGCAGGCACCGGGCCCCGAACATAGCGCGGCCGCCCCAGGCCCTTCTCGGGACCAGCCCTGATCCCAGCGCGTGCGGACCCTGCCTACGGGAACCCTCTCTTCTCCTCGCCTCCTCCGGGCCGCAGCCCTGCCCTCAGGCACTCCAGAGTCCCCCGCTGGCTCCCTTCTCCTTCACGGGCCCCAGCTCGTGGAGAAGCTCTGCTTTCCCCCACCCCGAAAGGGCGGAAAGGACACAAGACGTTCAGCGGCGAACGGCCAAAGAGAAAGCGCACGCCTTGAGCTCCCGGGACACCCCACAACCCCGCGTGGCTTCTAAACTCACGCGCTTCCTCCTAGCTGAAACACGCGCGGCACCCACCCCTACGTCACCACGCCAACGCTAACGTCATCACGCTACGAGGAAGTTCAGAGGGAGCATGCGTACTTGTGACTCCATGTAAAGAGGCGGCGAAGCGGAGGAAGGGGCGGGGTCAGGAGCTGAGATGGGGCGGAGTTAAGACGCTAGGGTTGTAGAGGTTAGCGTTGAAGGAACTAGGTAACCCGCTTGGGGCGAGGTATAAGAGTCTTCATTTCTAAAGCTTCCGGGTGATGCTGAGGAACGCAAAGTGAAGGGCGAGGAGTGACTGATGCAGAAGGAAAGCGGACCAGAAGGAGACTTGATTGTTGAGAGGATTAGTGTGAGGGGATCAGTCTTTTCGGAGTTCTGAGCCCCTGCTAAAGTCACAGTTGGGTGGTATCAGACATCTAAACAGACAATTGAATAAAAGAGTGATCAGTTCCCTGACACAGCCTAAGCGTGGGATGCCAAAGATGGCTTGCTACAGAAGGCAACCCTTTGACAGGTAAGAGTAAGTGAAGAGACTTGGAACGGGGTAGTCAGAGAAAGCTTGACAGTGTGAAGCTGTTGGAGAGACAGTGGAGGAATTGCTGGGCATTGCCTGCCAGAATCTTTGAGCCTCTCTGTTTCCTTTTCCAACACAGTTATCTGCGTTTATTTGACCTGGAAACAATGACCCCTTCATGTATTAGACGACCTTTTTTTTTTTTTGCGGTACGCAGGCCTTACTGTTGTGGCCTCTCCCGTTGCAGAGCACAGGCTCCGGACGCGCAGGCTCAGCGGGCATGGCTCACGGGCCCAGCCGCTCCGCGGCATGTGGGATCTTCCCGGACCGGGGCACGAACCCGTGTCCCCTGCACCGGCAGGCGAACTCTCAACCACGGCGCCACCAGGGAAGCCCTAGACCACCTTTTAAACGTATCAAAAATAATTTTTTTTCTGTAACTCATTGATACTCATGAACTAGTTTTCTATCTGATTAAAAGAAAGAAGGGCTAGTTACTTAAAGTTGCACTATTATTATGCCCATTTTACAGATAAGAGAACTTAGGCACAGAAAAGTTAAATGACTTGCTCAAGGATATACATTCTATAAATGTGAGATTTAAACCTGGAAATCTTGGCTCCATCCACTAAACTGTCATGCTATACAGTCTCTCCAAGGTGGGAAATAAAACCATTGTCCCTTCCATCAAGGAACTCATGGTCTAGACATGGAGACTGGCAAGAAAACAGAGAATTGTAATATAAACTAATAAGTACCAATATAAATGTATAAGCCAGGTGAAGTGGTAGCCTACAAAAGGAAATAAGCTAAGTTTTGGAGGAGGATCAGCATTTTGCCAGGTTGGGATGTAGGAAAGTGTTTCCTGCCAGAAGGTAGCCAAGAACAGTTGCCAGGAGGGCAAAAAGCCTGGAAGAATTGTAAAACTGTTCTCAAAACAGACTAGAAAATAGCACCCATGAAAATACAAAGTTCTTGGACACTTCCTGAACCTTGAGAACAGAAATATGGAAGCTTGCAGCTAAGTGCCTTCTGAATTATGTAGCTATGGGCCTTAAAAAAAAAGTATGTCTTTGGTATTGGTTGCAAAATCTGGGGAACAAGACAATCTGGCGTACATACCAATGATATGTATCCCAGTTCAAATCTCCTCTTTGACTATGCTACCTTGTCCAAAGGACCACAAATAGTGACCAGTTGGCTCACTTCCTACCCAGGCCGTCTGTTTGTCTTGCCTTCTTTCTTTACCTGGTCCTCCCCAGTATGCATCTTAAGAACTGAAGTCTGAGTCTCAGAGAGTGAGGATCCTGACTTCTTTTACCCTGTCACCTACTACTTGTTTAAGTCAGAGTGTTGCTTTCTGAGCAGGGGACCACTGGCCAGTAGTATGATGAAGGCAAGGGAAACCAGTGGGTGAAACTGAAAACTAGCGATAGTTCATTTAAAATGTAGATCACTGAAAGTTGACTACAGTATTTGTGTCTGGTGCTAAGTTCAAGCCACTCTTCGTACTGTATCAAATCATATCATCTTCTTATTTATTTCTATTTTCAGTGTTGGAGTGACACTTCCCCTTTTGGATTCATCATCTTCCAGACAGTTGCCAGAGTGATCTTTCTAAAATGAATATATTACTGCTGGTAATAATGATGGCTAGTGCCACAGAATCCTTACTATGTTCCAGGATTAATATGTTAATATTAATGTATACTGTTAATATATTCTTCACATATTCACTCATTTAATCCTCATAACAGCCCTCGGAAGCAGGGGTAGTAACATCATCCCGTTTTCAAAGGAGAAACTGAAACTCAGAGAGGTTTCATAATTTGTACCAAGTTACACTGGCAGTTTGGCACTAGAGTCCATTCTCTTACCCATTCGTAATCCAGTGATCAAGCAACCCTTCAGTTGTTCTCCCTACAACATAAAGAGGACTTGCTTTCTTTAGCATGCATACCAGGCTCTCCATGATCCATGGAGTTCCCTGAAGGGCCCTGAAGTGAGGAACAGAAGTGAGGAACAGAAGTGAAACATCCTTCCTGTTACCTTTTGATACTGCAGGTGTGTGCAATGAACACTGTCAGCATTACTTGTCAGCTTTGGGGAAGGTTTTAACCAGGCTTGGCTTGACAGTTTCCAGCTAAACTTGCAAAGCTTCAGAGCTTCTAAGAGGTAGGCACTATGCTGATATCCCATACTACCATGGAGTACCAGTCAGTGTTCATGGTTTTCATTGTGCTTGAATCTAGTCATAAAACTTTCAACACCCAAAACTTGATTTCAAGGTCATGACTTCAGAGTACAAAGGAACATAGTACTTGATGCAGAAATTATGGAGACATTAGATGTAGAAAAGAAGTGGATATTGTAAGCATCTTGGGTTTCTCTGAAGGAGCTAACAATCGTGACTATAACTTAACTTGAAAAACGGTAAGGTACATGCACAGAGCATAAAAAGTCACATTTGTAGTTTTGAACTTTCAGAAAAGCAGCTCATAATCTAGAAAGAGAAACTGATGAGTAAATGGTCAATTAAAGGAATACACACAGCAGAGCATTAATAACCAACTCAAATTTAGTTTTTGAGATATATCCATGTAGGTCTAGTTCATTCTTTTTAATATTCCATTATATAAATGTACCATAATTTATCCATTCTTATTCTGATAGCCATTTGGGCTGTTTTCAGTGTTTCTATATTACAAACAGAGACGGATTTACCATGAAGCTCATGAAATTTAGAGCCCCTTATTCACATGCACATCTCCCCTCTGCCTTCCCTCCCACCTCTTTCCCCCCTGCAGTGCTGGGAATTGCTAGGAATTGTAGGGTGAGAGAGGAAGCAATCAGAAAGCATTTATAAAGGAACTCAGAATAAAGGGAAATGGATTTCCAAGACTGAAGAAATTTCTTCTCATTCTAAATAAATACTTTACTATTTGTAATTTTGTATTATTTTTCTTAAAGAGAACCTCCCAAAATACATAGGCTTTGAGTCCCACAGAACTGGATCTGCCTTGATTACAAAAATGCTGCAATAAATATACTGGATACACATGAAAGAGTTTCTCGGGATCATAAGCCTGGGGTATATGCATCTTCAGCTTTACTAGATATTACCGAATTGCTCTTCAAATTGGTTCCAATTTATATACCCCACAACAGGCTTCTAAGAGTTCCCAGAGTTCCATGCCTTTAATGACATCTGATAGAGTCAGACTTTCTAATTTTTTTTTTTTTGCGGTACACAGGCCTCTCACCGCCGTGGCCTCTCCCGTCGCGGAGCACAGGCTCCAGACGCGCAGGCCCAGCGGCCATGGTTCACGGGCCCAGCCGCTCTGCGGCATGTGGGATCTTCCCGGACGGGGCACGAACCCGCGTCCCCTGCATCGGCAGGCGGACTCTCAACCCCTGCGCCACCAGGGAAGCCCAGACTTTCAAATTTTTACCAATGCTGGGTAAGAAAGAATATCTCGTTGTTTGAGAGATACTATGTTTTTTGTTTTGTTTTGTTTTGTTTTGTGGTACGCGGGCCTCTCACTGCCGTGGCCTCTCCCGTTGCGGAGCACAGGCTCCAGACGCGCAGGCTCAGCGGCCATGGCTCACGGGCCCAGCCGCTCCACGGCACGTGGGATCTTCCCGGACCGGGACGTGAACCCGTGTCCCCTGCATCGGCAGGCGGACTCTCAACCACTGCGCCACCAGGGAAGCCCGAGATACTATGTTTTGATCCTCTTTTTTTTCCCCTCAAAATTCCATTTCAACTATAATCCCACCCCACCCCCCATCATTTTCAATAGCATAGTGAAAAAGAACACTAGCATGGCAACCAGAAGTCCTGGTTGAGATCTCATCACAGCTGTGGATCTTTGGGAAGTCAAACTTCCTTCACAGGGCTGTTGACAGTATTAATAACTGAAGCATCTTGTGAATTTTGTGATAGAGGAATGAGTATTGTATCCGAGTGAACACCCTCCATCATTTATGAGTTTCAGAGTTAGGGAGTCCCTTGAATTTCATGAACCAACTCTATCTAAATCCCAAAGTAGAAGGCTCAAGATGCATTCCATCTATTTTGTGTACATTTCTTTTAGGTACAGACCTTCGGTGTGCATAAGAACCACCAGCAGAGCTTGCTAAAATGCACATTCCTGGGTCTCCTACCTAATGATTTTAACTCAGTTTGAGAAAGTGCTTGTTCTGTAGTTGGATTTTATCCTTTCCTGCTTTCTTCCCTTTGCTTTCAGGAGGCACTTACTTTGAGGCTTGAACTTCGTTTCTTATATTATACTATATTACCACAACAAAACAACCTATAATCCAAGCTGCTTTTCAGGTTTAGAGTGAGGAGGCATCAGTGGGTGGGGGTGTAGCATGACGTCAGGAGTGTAGAAGGAGCCTCTTCCTCAGCTGGCTCTCTTGGGGCTCCAGGCCCTTCCCAGGCAGACTCCACATCACCCAGCCATGTCTCACCCCTTCTGGGCT